CACCTCCAAACCAATCACATAACGCATAATCCAGGTTTTCATACCAGGACCAGATTTAAAACTGTTACTTACCTGAATCTGAGCAAAAACTCTATTCCAAAATGCCTTTGCCTCGTGAATCGGCCTCCAAAGGTCCTCAATCTAGCCAAAAGTAGTACAATACAATCAATATAGGCTAAAGGAATTAATTCCACAAGAAAAATACGAAATTATAACCAAAATCCAAAATCGGCTCAAACCCGACCCCCGAGCCCCCGTCTCAAAATCCGTCAAAAGTCACGAAATCCGAAAGCCTATTCACTCATGAGTCTAACCATACCAAATTTACTCAAATCCGATAACAAAATCCCATTCAAAATCTCAAAATCCTAGCCAAAGAACTCTTCCTCATTTTTCCCAATTTTCCACCCCAAATCCCAAATTAGATGATGGAATTAAAGGCATAATCATGGAATTTGACCAAAATAAGATAGGAATCACTTACCCCAAACACCCACGCAACAATCTCTCCAAAAATCACCTTCTACCGAGCTCCCACTTCAATTTTATGATATGAACTCGAAACCCTCATTTTGAATCTTTTAAATCCGTCTAGTGATGCCTTCATTGCAAACGCAGCCTTACCCTCGCGTTCGCGTAGCACAATAAAATCTGCCGCCCAAAAACCTTCTTCGCGAACGCGTCCAACCAACCGCGAACGCGATGCTTCGCTGACTCCTCACTTCGCGAACGCGACCACCCTTACGCGAACACATAGACAAAAAGACTGGTTCCCCAGCTGCCTCAACTCCTCTTTGCGAACGCGACACCTCTCCCGCGTTCGCGTTGCACTCTCAGTCCACACCTTCGCGTTCGCGTTCGTGTCCTCTTCTTCGCAAACGCGAGAGACAAAACTCCTCGACCCACAAACACCCTTCGCGAACGCGAGACTCATCTCGCGAACGCTTAAGAGGAAACCAGAAGAAACACACCAGCAGTTATCAGCCAAGAAGCTAAGTTCAAAAATGATCTGTTAACCACCCGAAACTCACCCGAGACCCCCGGAACCTCAACCAAAAATACCATCAAGTCCCAAAACATCATACAAACTTAGTCGAAACCTCAAATCCCCTCAAACAACATAAAAAACACGACTTGCACACGGATTCAAGCCTAATGAACTTTGAAATTTCTAAATTCTACAAACGACGTCAAAACCTATCAAATCACGTCCGATTAAACTCAAATTTAGCACACAAGTCATAAATGATACCACGAACCTACTCCAACTTTCAGAAATTCAATCCGATCCCGATATCAAAAAGTTCACTCTCGGTCAAACATCCCAAAATTTCAACTTTTGCCATCAAGCCTAATTCTACTACGGACCTCCAAATTACAATCCGGACGAGCTCTTAAGTCCAATATCACCTACGGAGCTAATGTAACCATCAAAATTCAAATCCGAGGTTGCTTACATATAAGTCAACATCCGGTCAACTTTTCCAACTTAATCTTTCAATTAAGGGACTAAGTGTCTCAATTCACTCTGAAATCTCTCCGGACCCGAACCAACTAACCAGGTAAGTCAAATAACATCTGTAGAACACAAAAGGAGCAGTAAATGGGAGAACGAGGATACAACTCTCAAAATGACCGGCCGGGTCGTTATAGGAACCTTCAGCAGTCACTGTGAAAACCTAGTTCTTAGCACATGTCAATAGCACACACTTATTAATTATCAAAATACATAACTCAACATTAAAGTTAGGAGTATTTTAGCTTTTTCAAAAATGTGTGAAAAATACTACTCCCTCCGGTCCATAATAAGTGACTTTTTAGCCTTTGGCACACCCCTTAAGAAAATACGAACTCTTAGAGAAAAAAAGATGTATTCACCAAATTACCCTTAATTAATTGTTACCTTGACACATTGCGATATGTAAATAAGGGAAAATTTTGGAAAAATAAAATTAATTCCTTCTTAATTATGTAAAGAACACTTATTTTGGACTAAAATAAAAAGGTTAAAAGATCACTTATTATGGACCGGAGTGAATATTGACTTGCAATTTCTCTCGTATCAAGATAGTGACAAAGTTTACAATTCAAAACTATAGTTTGGACTATCGAGAAAAGAGACGTCACAGAGGTTTGAAGACAAACGGAGTATTATTACAAACTCAATTATGGCTATTAATTAATTTTTATATCATTTGACTCGTAGTCTATTCATATGACTTAGTAGTGCACGTTTTTTAATTGTAAACATTGTTTACTTCCACTAGCCAAATAAGTTCATCGAATTAAATTGGCACATGCACTACATAAAATTATTAAGATTCCTCGATCTGGATTAGAGAAAAGTAGCAGATGCAACCAAATTACCAATAACTTGCACATGGGGCTTTATTGCGGTGGCTTAACCCAATAGCGGAGCTAGAATTTTTATCAAAAAGTTCAAAGAACCTAAAAGTAGATACGTGAAGCTACGAAGGAGATTTAATATCTAATATATAAAAATAAAAATAATTTAATCTTATATGTGCTTCGTAATGAACCCCTTCCGTCTCCTAGCTAAGCCCCTCAGGGGCCGCCCCTGAGCCTTAAACCCTTATTTAACACATGAGTTTGTTTTATCGAATGACATGATTTTGTATTGAGTTATGCACGGTTTGAGAAGAACTGACGATTTAAATATTTTGATGAGAGGATGCATCACTTCAAAAGATTTCATTTACTTGGGATAGTTATATGTTTAAATTTTGTAAGTATTTACAATTATTTTGGGATAAGAGCTAAATACTTTCCCCAAGTATGATTTCCAGAGATATTTTGTGGTAATGTTGTTGTGAGATGACTATGTTATTGAATATTATCAGTCTTTAGGCCTCCAAATTTGGGGCCTCATTTTTCAATAGTTACTAATACTAGGGGACTAGTTTTATAGGTGCTTTGTCTTAAATTTTTTAAATTAAAATATAAAGTACTCATAAAAATTTTGAAAAAAGGGGAAGACAATTTGTGGGTACATAAATGACGTGAATAATGAGGTAAATTTAGTAATAAAATCAACACCTTTACCTTACGTGTGTGAATGTAGACTTTATTTTGGGTTACATTGCACATGTGCATGTTATTAAGTATCTATAATATGTTTATCTTTTTAACCAAAAAAAAGTCAGTAGAATATACAACCCAAATTATGTTTCTTTGTTTTTTTACTCACGGGACAAAGTTTACTTCACTTCTTTTTCCCATTCTTTAAAGAAAATTATTGTTTTGTCAAAATTCAAAGCCTGAAGTCCGTTAGACAAATATCGCATATTCTTTTTTGTTCATTCCCGAAAGTGCAACAAGCAGATTGAAGCAGTGAATATAAACACCTAGAACATGTTCTATTATATTAGCTTTTATTATTTTTATGATATTGATGATTTTGACTTATTTTATGAATTGAAAGTGCTAAGAAAAATAGTAGAAGTAAAAGATAATACTTTAATTGACATACATAATCAGATAAAAAGACTTGACTCTTTTCTAATTGCCTATATTGCTTATAGAATAATGTTAACAGTTGTTGTATCAGTTGAAAGATGTTTTTCAAATTTAAATTGATAAAAGCTCAAGCAAGATTAAACGGATTCACTTAGTAATGATTTTGCATCTCAAAAAGCTAAAACAATAAACGTCAAGTAAAATTATATATGAAGTATTTTTTAAAAAAATTTTTAAGGCCTCCCTTAAATTTTTAAATATGTTGAGTCGCCCCTGAATATTATGTGAACGACATCTTTTAAATTTTGCTATTATCTTTTCAAATTACTTTATAATGCTTTTACATGGCTTCTCGTTGTTCCACTTCTTATTTTTCTCTTTAATAATGAGATGCTTATGCTTCCCTGAGCCGAGGGTCTATTGGAAACAATCTCTCTATCTCAGCAAGGTAGGGGTAAGACACACTACCCTCCCCATACCCCACTATGTTGAATTATACTAGGTTTATTGTTGTTGTATCTTCTCAAATTACATGAAAATTTACCACATTTACTTTTATGTAATTATGAGCTATAATTTGAATTATTGATGCACGAGATGAGATAGATTAAAGGAAAAAAATATGTTAAAAAGAGGGGGCGTGACGCGACGCGTTTTACCTCTGACGAAGTGAGGCGTAAGCCCTGAGACACGGGCGTAAGTCCCACGGATCTTTAAATTTTACTAATGTCAAGAATTTGAAGATAGTATAAAATAAAAAATAATTATAAAAATTACATTAACATCACAAAACTAAAACAAATAATCTATTTAAAATATTTATAAATTATAATTCAACTATGAATAATGTAAAAAGTATGACATATATCTTAATAAGCAAATTAGTTTCAACGTCATTACAACTCAAACATAAAAAAAAAATATTTTATACGAAATATTTTATGTATTGTTGACATCCAATTTTGTCCCTCCTTTCTTCCAAACTATTTCCTTAAGCTTTTGATATTACTAATAATTTAAAAATAGGCATTCTATTATTTTCAACACAAATTGACTTATTTGTTATATTATTAAAACTATTATTGCTATAGTTATTTTTATAATTATCATTGTTGTCATAATTATTATTCACATTATTATTATTATTATCGTCTTTTGCGAAAAGTATATCACTTCTCTTTATTTAACCAACTAGTAATATTTCTTTAATCCCATATTTTATAAATATTTACTCTAATGATACTATACCATTTGATTTGACGATCAATCGAATAGTTATTTTTGCAATCACTTTCTTAACTGCTAACAATTATAGTCTTTGTATAATTTTGCTTAACTAATACTATTACTATTATATAGTATGATTAGTCCTAATTATATGTCCAAAGAATTTAGGAAGAAAGAAATCAGCAAATTAAGCCCAAATCTTTCTCAGCAAATGAACCCATCAAGAACAGGCCCAATTCGGCTAGTGGACCCAATCAGCCCAATCAGATTATTTTATTTTTAAGTCCCAAAAATCCAATCCATAAAGATTATTCTAGAAACCCTAATTCCTCTCTCACCAAAAACAGACGCTCCCTTTTCCCCTCTCCATTGTCGCTTTCAATCTCTTCCATGGCAGAGCTCTCTCTTGGCTTTTTCCCCCATTTTTAGCCGAGTCTTGACCTTCAAATCCCTAGGCGCCAGAGCGTATCTCATCATTTCAGTATAACCTGAAGCATATCACTGAAGAATCACGTGAAGATTGAATCCATCCAAAAGGCTTCAACGTTAAAAATTCAAACGGATCAGTTTGACTTCTTTTGAAATCTAAATTTCAAATTCCCGCTCAAAGGAACCAAGAACCCTAATTTTACACCTATAAATACTAGATTTGGTGAAAATTTTGAGGACCTTTTCGCTTGCCGCTATAGACCTTTGGACCCGCCGCTTTTATACTCTTTTCCTCGCCATTCTTCTCTCATTTTTTACTCATTAGAACCACACTCTAAGGGTTCGTTTTTGTTCAGCCTCTATTGGTTTTGTCTAACCATAACAGAGGCGTCGTCGTGCTCGTTTCGGAGTTTGACGGTCGTTCAAGGTTGCGGAGTAGAGGCCGGAGATAGCACACCTTGACCCAACCCCGGTTCACTGCCCCGAAGAAGGTTAGCAGCTTTCTTCTTATTTTTCTTTCCATTCTGGATAGTATTTGCTTGAACCTTTGTTTGAAATGTGTTAGTTTTCTATTTGTGTTGGACATCATTAAAAAATGGATATTCAAGTGGAAATTTTTAGAACTCTACATTTTTAGTATCTTGACTAACTCACGCTGCTAACTTAATTGTAAAAACTTTTCAACTTAAGCTTTGCTGACCTTTTTCTTTTATTAATTTTGCTGACTTTCCTTTTCTTCCTTTATATATTAGGCATAAAATATGATATTTTCTCGTCTTCCAAATCTTCTCATTTTTTGTCAAAATTTTAGAAGCCTTCCCCTGCTACATCAGCTTCTCTCCAGTTGTAGCTTCTTATCATTAATTTTACATATTGTTTTTACATTGATTTAAATCGTTGACAAAATACAGTAGAAACTAGCATGTCGAGTCTTGGCTTTGTGTCAGATGCTGGTTTAAAAAGAAATATTTTTTATGATAGTAGACATTAGTAGAAATTATGCCTGTAAGCTTGAGTTGATGTATGAATATGAATTTTTAATATAATATCGGAGTATTGTTGTCTATTTTCTATATAGATCTAAAAGACGAACAACTTGAATCGAAGCCAAAAGTTGATTAAATTCAATGTTTACTCTATTTGGAATGGACCATATAAATGGCAATGCGTCTAGTTTTAAAGCAAGTGTGGCACCCGGGACCTTCCAATCCTGGATCCACCTCCATGTTCATGTAATCTAGAAACACTGTTACAACTTGTTTTGCTTCGTACATGACGGACGCCTCCTCGATATGCATATGTGTCATACTACAGCTGATTTTTAATTGATACTCATAAGCTTGAAACTATGTCGATAGGAAATTGATTCGAATGTTCTTGAAATGTGAAAAGCAGTTGCAGACTTAAACAATTTTGCTGGGATTTTCTATGTAAAAGTCTGGTTAGAGAAGTTTGTAATGCTTAACTAGATTAGATCAAGTACATAGAATGCTTAACAAGCTTTCGGAACTAGATAATAACATGATCAAATTCAAGAGGGCATAAGGCTTAGGTTGTTATTATTGTTTACCTAGCCGGATATCATAAGATGTAGGAGATATGTATGTTTTTTATGAATGATGATTGTGGAATTTGTTTGGCTTGCTCAAGTATATTTGATTTTGGAGATGTCCTATTGGAATACTATCTTTGCAAATTGACGCCTTCTTTTAGTTTTTAAATGGTTTAAGAATTTCTTACTGCTTTTTGCATACCTTAAGGGAGAAACTTATCTAACTGTTAAGAATAAGGATCCATATTTTGTAGTTCTCTTCATGTCTTACAGACCATGACAATAGCATTTGACAGTGAGTGAAAAGATCTTAGCTAGAAGCATGTGCTGCTATGAAACATTGATGTATGCTTATATATCCTCTTTTAGGCATTGGAATTTACATATCCCCTTTTAGGCGTTGGCATTCGTAGGCTTAATTTATTAAACACTTGTGTGGTTTGGTTCATCGTGAGAATACCTGGGAAGAGTCTTTAAGTAAGAAAAAATGAGGTGTTAAGATTATAACTTATTTAAATAATTTGAATACCAATATGATTGATGATTGCTTTATTACTGCTTATTTCTAGTTCTCACATTCTCTGCGGCACTTCTAGAAATAGACCTCTTTCGTTCTAATTCTTGTTTGTTCTCTTTTTATGCATATGTACTTGGAGCAAAACATGGAGTTTAAATACGAGACTCCCCATACCCGAGCATGGATTCATCACATGACATCTTCCTTAGAGTGCACCGGATAGCAAGAAAAACAAGCGAAACGCTTGGGGGCGCTTATGGCGTCTTTCTTATTTCTTTTTCTTTTCTTTTGACATTCATTCTTGTCTAGTTTTATGATCCTATATTTATTTTTGTGTTTTTGTTCAAGTTTGGAATTTCATAACATTCGGAAGTCGCCGCTAAGTAAATCAATTTCGGTCTTGCTAGTTTAAACTCGTGTCCGATTCTTTTATTCATTAACATGGTTATTTTGCTTAAAACTTTTTGGAGCAATATTTAGCAATCTAAATTTTTTTTGGCGTAAGTTCAAAACTGAAACTTTCCATTCTTAAAAGAAAAGAACGAGACATTTTACACATTTTCGGCACTCTTGGATGAATTAATTAGCAAGAACCCTTTTAGATAAGTCAAATGACTTCTGTTCTTTTTTTAGAGTTCTTTTAGTTCAAATTAAGTATTTGTTTTGAGTCCAAACTTTGTCAAAGAAAGAGTTTCAAAACTGAATTTATTAAATACTGAAATCAGATTTTAGTTTCATTTTTAGCACGTTTTGCCGCCCTTTAAATACATGAGGTCCAAGTCCACTTTCCTCGTTAGACATTTTTTTTTGAAAAAGAAATTTGTATACTCCATCACTAATTTTGATATCATCACTCCTCTAAGTAATCTATATTCAATATTTATATATTTGCTCATATGGTAGTGTTTTCTAACTTGGAATATCCAATTATGATTTATTTTCTTAAAAGTACTTTAAAAGATATTCATATTTTAAGTATGTTAAGTAACCTAAGTTTGGCCGGTTAACCGTAACTAACGGATCATGTAGGGTGCTTTAATAACCTTCCCTATAGGATTAATTAGAACCCTTACCCATAATTTCAAGGTTAAGTAGACTATATAAACAGAGTTAACTTTAAGCACTACTTAGCTAAAATGGGTGTCCTAATTCACCTTTAAATTAATTAGGTGGCGACTCTCTTTAATCAAATAAACCTCAGAATTACCAATATGTTATACTCTAGTTTGACCCGTGTTAAAATGGGGTATAACACACATATTTAAGACTTGTACGGGGCGTCGGAACCAAAATACGAGCCTGATACCATAGTCTTTTGATCAATTTTTATTTCCATTTTTCCTTAATAATTTCAGAAAAATAATTTCACAGAAAAATTTATTTCTCGGGCTCTCGACCTCGAAATTCGACTCCGGGCATATGCCCGAGTCCCATATTTTTCTACGGACCCTCCGGGACCGCCTAATCACGGGTCCGGGTCCGTTTACCAAAAATGTTGACCAAAGTCAACTTTAGCAATATTAATATCAAAATTCTTCAAATTTTTTACAAAGTTCACATATTTCAACATAAAAGCTTTTCGGCTACGCGCCCGGACTGCGCACGCAAATCAAGGCAAGCAGAAATGAGGTTTTCAAGGCCTCGGAAGCACGGAAAAGAGAGAAATCTGGTGATGACCCTTTGGGTCGTCACACTGGGCAATGGCGTTTTGTTGGGCTTGTAGCATTTCAAATATTACTTGGAGACTGACTCCTTCTCCTCTGCCCTGTGTACCTCGACCGCCAGTTCGACCGTCTCTGCGTACGCTTCCTTCGGGGTCTGCGCCTGAATCCGCATTCAAAGCAACATGAGAACTGACATCAACCGGGTTGACGGGCGGTGCTCCTCCGAGGTCAGCCTGTGGCACCTCGACTCCTGGGGCGACAACATTCTCATTTTCTCCATGGAGTACGAGGCCGTTGTCGCCGTGTGTAGATGCGTTTTGTGAGTTTGACATGGTTCAACCTGAAAAACAAAATTCTTGACAAGAAACAAGTGTAAAATAATGTGCTATACCGGAATTAGCACTGAACAATCACTATTACCCTTAGCCCCACGGTGGGCGCCAAACTGTTTACCTCGAAATACGAGTAACAATTAAACTTGTAATGTGGTTATAAGGATACGCGATCTGATTCAACGCCAATTGACAAATGACTAGATAAATAAATGAATTAAATGATTAAGATAAATCAAGCCAGTGTAGTTGCAAACTATCGTCCTTGATTGGAACAGGCTCAAGATCAAGCATTAAGAACAATAAGAATAATAGTAAGTTATAAGCAAGCAAAAGAGCAGTGTATTGTTATTTTTTAGTCAGTCTCCCTTTACAAATGAACATGATTCTTCTTTATATAGTAGAGGAATCCTAAATAAGGAATAACTCTAATTTCGGAAGTAAAATCCATGGATTGGTATCAATAACCGTCAGTGGTTCTGTCGGTTCCAAGACTCACGCCACGATCCTCGACCAATAACAGATATCTTGCTCCTTCTATTACTATTCTATCCCCGATGTTACTCGAAGTCTCTCTCCCCTGGCTTCGACTGATACCAACCTCGGTCTCGAAAGAGACTTCGATCTCGAACTCGATGCCTTAGCTCTTCGATGAAACGTCCTTGTTTCGATCAAATAGTGAAATCGGGTAGCCCCGATTTCTACCGAATATTATATATATAAACTTAACCTTATATACATAGTATAATTTCTCGAGGAAGGAGGTTCAAAATCCCCCTTTCCGCCCTCTAGCTCCACCCTTGGTCACGAGCCGTATGTTGTAAGACATACAAAGAGGATTTTATAGATAAACGGAAGTGCAAAAATAAATAGGACCGGACGTTGAAATTTTATTTCTAGCATTCTCCTACTGGGTCCGACATAACTACATGTAAATCCACAAGCTTTTATACTAAATAAATTATATAAATTGATTACATGAATCATAGCAGCAGTTAGGTCCTCCTTAATTAGGAGAGTAGTACTAGCCAAAATGCAAGATCTGATAAACATCATGCTCAAACGGTTGGTAGAGAGATATCTTAATGGCACTACTAGCTAGTATCATTAATTGTTGAGACTCATCTTTTCGAAGAGCATAGTCAAGCTCCATGCATCCCACGTGAACAACTTTCTCCTTCCGAAACTTATAGTTGTCACTGGGGTGAGTGTAATTTGGATTAATCCGAAATTTGAAAATTTTGAATATTTCGATTAGTGATTGAATTTAGAATTTAGTTTTTATAATTTTTGGATTACGGAGCGAATTTCGGATGTGAAACTTCAGATATGACGGTATCCGAAAGTCCGATTTTTATACATTGTATTTAACCTTACCATTAGACATTAGCCAAGATGCCCAATATTAAAAGTTCAGAACCATTCCCATTAGATATTAGTCCATATATCCAGTATTAGTTACTAAGTTGTTATAATACTTACTATTTAAACATGATCGGAGTATATTTGGCTTGTTAGGGCATTATTATTAATGCTTCTGATGAATTACCTTGATAGTAATTTTATTGCTTGCATAAATACTTATTTGGATAATTGTGATGGTAATAGGGAACTATTATCGCAATTTGACATGAATGCCTTTTGCATGTTCAATTTTGTAAGAAGAAGAAGAAGGAGCTTAACTTATAGGCTTAATACTAAGAAGTTAAAATATTCAAACCGATTAATTGGAACTTAATTGAGTTGAGATTGTAATTTTTTCAATTCGAAAACCAAAAATCCAATGAAATTTTCATATTCAATCTAAACTTCCCGAACGCCCGACCCTAATTATCACTACTCAAATAAGAAATTTCAACCACTATCAAATATCATTAATGCTGAAAATATATAAATAACAATCATGCTTTTGTGTCACAAATATATAGGCGCATCAAGATTCATACAAGTTATGATATACATGTCAATGCAAGTCATATCGAAAATAAATACGAATCAACGTGTTGTTAAAATCTACCTAAGGAACACTGATTTTGATAAACAATTATTCGTTGTATTAACTTTTATAATGGACCTAAAAAGTGCTAATTTTCTTAGTACGTGTGGGCAAATCGAGAAATAAAAATATCTTTGATCTATTCCACTCTAATCAAATATAAAAAAATAATAACCTTTCTGTGAGGTAAAGTTAGTACATTTTTACACTTAACTAGAATTCAATGTCACGATCTATTCCAATTACATATTGATAGAAAAATATTTTTGATATCTCAAAAAGAAATATTTCAAAACTATGTCTAGATTCATTTTCTTACTATTATATTAATAAGACATTATTACAGTGTGCAGACTCCTGGAGGAGCCCATTACGGCCCAAGCGCAATATCAAGCCATCTCGTGGCATCATAAATAGGCTCTCGGCCTCATATCAATATCAAGCCACCTCGTGGCATACAATCTCGGGCCCTCGGCCTCATAATCAAAATCAGTGTATCACCGCTGCAGCGTGCAGCTGGCCCAAAAGATATTCTCACAACACAGGCCATCGACCTTACTCAGTCAAAATCACAGGGCAACAGTAAAATAGTGTTTCTCAGCCAAAAACATCATTTAAATATCATTTGAGTATTAAAACTGAGTGAACATGGCTGAGTTTTTGAAAACAGTGGAAAATAACATAAGTGAGTTCAAGTATAAAGTCAAAACAGTGTGAAAATATCAACAAAAATCCCCGAAGGGTTCAAATAGTTGGCACAAAGCCCAAATATGGCATTCAGCCCAAATAATCATGATAGCAAATAGATTACAGTCAAATACGCGGTAAAATCATCAATCGGGAAGGACCAAGTCACAATCCCCAATAGAGCACGACCCCACGCTCATCATCGAGCGTGTGCCTCACCTCAATATAGCTCTACGATGTGCAATCCGGGTTTTCAAACCCTCAGAACATCATTTACAATAATTACTCACCTCGAACCGGCTAATTCTCTAGCTCGCGACGCCTTTGCCCCTCGAATCGGCCTCCACGCGCGTCGAATCTATCCAAAATCAGAACGAGGACGTCAAAATATGCTAAGTGAACAAAGCCCAAGCAAAAATAATCAACAATTAGCACAAATCCCGAAATTACCAAACCCGACCCCCGAGCCCACGTCTCGAAATTTAGAAATTCTTACACCAATAGATTTCTTATCTTCCCACGAGTTCATACATACCAAAAACTCAGAAATCCGACCTCAAATGGTCCACCAAATCATCAATCATAGGTCTCCAATCCTAAACCCTAGTTTTCCCCAAATTTCACCCTTAATTTCCATAAATTCTAGCTCTAATCCATGAAATAATAGCATAGGAATGTGTTTTAGGTCCAAAATCCTTACCTCAATGAAGTTCCCTTGAGATCCCTCTTTCAAA